AGCCATGGGTTTGCTAGCAGAGCACAAGTGTCTTCTAGGCTCTCCAGGGCCTTTGAGCCAGGCCATGATGTTGTAACCCCTACAAGGCTGTTCCTGTTGAGTCAGCCCCTCCCACCATGGAAAGAAACACTGCTGGGTCCTGTCCCCTCGCCTTGATCAGTTGGAACTCGAACCATTGTGATTCCCAAGATTTTCATTGGCTGATTTTGGAAAGTAGATTATGAGACCTTTCTTTCTAGTCCATCCTAGTCTGGAAGCTTACACAAGCCTCTACTGATAGACAGGTGGTGTCTGTGCCTGGGCGCATTGGCCGGGACCTGAACCCCAGGCTCCCTCATGGAAGGTGAGAGTTCTGTCACCGAACCACAACTGTCTCTCACATTGGAAGGATTGAAGCCTGTTGTCAAGGAGTCACTTCCAACTAATAGCGACCCTATGGGCAGAAAGCCTCATCTTTCTCCCACAGAACAGCTGGTAGTTTTGAACTGCTGACCTTGTGGTTCGCAACCCGATTTGTAACCACTATGCTACCAGAGCTCCATAGCACGGATTAGAACTACCAAATACTGTTTCCAAGGCTGTGATCTTTATGGAAGTAGTCTGCCACATCTGTCTCCTGTGGAGCTCCTGGTGGGTTTGAACCACTGACCTTGAAGTTAGCAGCCCAACACTTAACCCGCTGCACCACTAAGGCTCCTTCTGGCATGGTTGTTGTTGTGGGTGTGCTGTGGAGTTGGTTCTGATTCATAGCAACCCTGTATAGGGTTTCCAAGGCTGTAAATTTTTATAGGAGCAGAAAGCCTCATCTTTCTCCTGAGGAACGGCTGGTAGTTTCCAACTGGCAGGGCCTCTGAGGTCTCTTTCCCACATCAATGGGCCAGATCCTCTGGGGGCAGTGGGACTAGTGTGCAGGTGTGTCTCCTGCCTAACCCCACCACCAAGATTCTAGGTTCAGCTTGAGGCCAGATGAGGCCTGGCCATGCTGGGAGGGAATGTGGTGAGTGATTCTTGTGGAGAAGCGAGCAAGAGCGAATTAACTAATGGAGATTAATTCCCACCCCTGGGCCTTTTCTGTCCTCAAGATCAGCATTAGCCTCTTGGAGTCCTCCCTTTGTCTCAGGGTGCTGGGGATTCTGGGCAATTCCACTTTAGTCTCAAATCAGAGGCGGCCAGGAGGCTGCCTCATGTCTGTCTCTAAGCTAGTGGCTCTAACATTTTGAGGCCTGGGCAGTGGGGGTGTGTGGTGTCTAAGGGTGGCTTCAGATACTTCTGCACCAATATATGTGCCAGTGAAGAGTGCAGTCGCTTATGACTAAATTCTGGATTCCCCGCTAGAGCTTTAGAAGCTCTTTCCTACCCTTTAAGGAACTCTGTTGGCACTGTGGGTTAAGCTTTGGGTTGCTGACTGCAAGGTCATTGGTTCAAGCTCGCCAGTCATTCCACGGGAGAAAGATAAGGCTATGTGCTCCCGCAAAGATTTACGATGTCAGAAGTCCTAAAGAGTAGTTCATCTGTGTCCCATATTGGGCGGCTATGGTGAATTGATTCAATGGCTGTGGGTGTGTATTTGCCAAGCACAAATACACAGGTCTGATTCCATGTAATGGAGTGTTGGGGTTCTTAAAAACAGGGAAAAGGAGAAAGAAAGGACCTTGGTTTTTTGAGATGCTTGCCTCTAAAGGACTAAACTTTTCAGCCCCTTGGTCAAAGAATCCGCAGCTGATTAGAGGGTAAACTGCTTAAAGGAAGAACTGGGTTTTAGGGAAAGTGCTGTAGCACTGTTACCAGCCCCAAGGAATCTAAAACCCCAGAAAACACAACTGCTTTCTGACCAGTGGATCAGCAATTTGAAACATTGTCCTGAGTCCCAGAATGAATACCATTTTAATTTGATCTTTATTTTAATGAGTTGTATTGTCACTCGTAGTATTTTTCCTCGTGCTATGTATCGCTCAAGCACCCATCATATTTACTATAAAAGTGTGTATGCCTCAAGCATTGTCATTAGGTGCAGCCAAGTTGATTTCAACTCATAGCAACCCCGTGTCACAGAGTAGAACTGCACCGTAGGGTTTTCTAGGCTGGAATTTTACCAAATCAGGGAGCTCCTGGATGAGTTCAGTCTGTCAACTTTTCAGTCAGCAGCCATTGTATCACCAGGGCCTGTTTTTGCCAAAAGTATAGGTATTGTCTTTCTTGTCCTTGTATTCCCCACCACCACCCAGCATGGTGTCTCCGGAAGATACACATTAGACTGCAAAGCTTTCCACCCCCTCAAAGGTTTACAGCCTCAGAAACCCTATGCAGGGTTGCTGTGAATTGGAACTGACTGAAATGTACTTAATGAATAACAACAACTCAAAGCCTGGCACCTAACAGTCATGCAGTAAACATTTGTTGAATGAATGAACAAATGAATAAAAGGGCTGAGTTCTTAACACTAAAATAGCCATAAAGTAGGAAGGAATTTGATGATCCGAGCCTCAGGAACTGCCAAGATTGTACCCTTGGGGCAGAGCTGGCTAAACGCCTCTTTTTGTTGTTAAATCAGAGTTAATTTAGAAAATCAGCCTTGCCCAGGTTTGAGCTCAGCTGAGTACACATTCGGCCACTCTTCCTTTCTTGGCTGGCCACTTTAAGTCTGTCCTGACTCTGATCTGTCTGTCACCCCACCACCACTACACGCATGCCTCCCCACTCCCAGGGAGTCCTGAAATCTTTGCAGCCACTCCTTTCTCTCTTTCGCTTTCTCCCCATCCCCACTCTTTCCCTTTCCTCTGTACTGTTCCCATCTTCTATCTTCTTTCCTGCACTTTGTAAGCTTCTCCAGCCCAAAACTTGGATGGACCACCAACATTTATTTGTACAGGGCACTCCACTTGAACCAGTGAAACAAGGGTCCAGATGGCCTGGGTTGGAGTTCTGACCTGAAACTAATTCAGGGTGGGGGTGTCGTATCAGTTTCCCAAGTCTGAAAATTGAGATGTCCTGCCTGCCATTCTGGGAGTAAGAATGGACTTTTTTTTTTTTTTTAACTATTTAAGCTAAACTTGAATAAAAAGAAAAGCACCTTTTTATTGTGGTTTGGGTGAAAGTTAACAGAGCAAATGAGTTTTCCATACACATTTTGTTTCATGACATTGGTTTCAATGCCCACAAGATAATAGCGCTGTTCCCGCTTCTTCTCTGGGTTCCCTGGTTTTGTTTATTCTTCTTTTCTACCCCTTCTACCTTCTGAGCTTTGATTTGGGGCCTGTGCTTGCTTTAGGGTCTGGTACAGTTGATTGGTCTAAAAAGTATGTTACTCCTTGTTGTCATTGGTCACTTTATAGGCTTACCTATTGTTTGATTGAAAGTTGATCCCCGGAGGTGGGTTTAGTTTCCGAATTGCACGGGTTTCACCAGTCTCTGTCAGCTTTTTTATTATGATTTTGAGTTTTGTTCTACTGTTGTTTTTTCTTCCACTCTGTCCACGGCCTTCTATTGTAATTCTATTCAAGTCAGTAGTGGTAGTTGGGCACCATCTGGTTCTTCTGGTGTCAGAGTAGTGAAGGTTGTGTCTCATATGGTCCATTAGTCCTGTGGACTAATTTTTTCCCCTTGAGTCTTTGATTTTTTTTCACTCTTCTGTTTTCCGTTAAGCTAAATTATTGTTTGGTTTTGTTGTTGTTTAGTGCCTTTCAGTCAGCCCCAACTCATAGCAACCCTGTATAGGGTTTCTGTGGAGCGTCTGGTGGGTTTGAACCACCGACCTTCTGGTTCAAACCAACCTTCTGGTCGAACACTTACCCTGCAGCACGCCACCAGGTTTTAGCCATAGGATTTTCAGTAGTTGAGCTTTCTAAAGTAAATCACTAGGCTTTTCATCTGAGGTACCTCTGGGTGGACTTGAAACTCCATTCTTTTGATTGGCAGCTGAACACATGAACTGTTTACACCACCCAGAGACTTTGCCTCATAATGTTTTTGTTAAGTGCCATCGAGTCAATTCCAACTCATAGCGACCCTGTTTAGGGTTTCTGAGTCAAAGAGCAGCTGGTAGGTTTGAACAGCCGACCTTGTGATTTTGCAATCCAGTGCTTATTGTACGGTGCTATGCCAAGGAGTCCTTACCTCATAATAAGAGTTGAATAGATGTTTGTATAATCAGCTGAAACACAGCTTTGGAATACCTTGTGTCAAGTTCCAGGCTCTGGGATAGAGGTGAATAAGACAGACAGGCTTCCCTGGGCTCATGAAGCCTATAATCTTGTAGAAGAGACTAACCTTCAACTAATACAAGTGTGAACAGAGGTATATTGGAGGCAAGCAGATGTGGGTCAGGGCACATAACGGGTGACCTAACCTAGGAGTCCTGGTGTGGTGCTGCGGGTTAATGTGCTGGATAGCAATGTCAGTTTGAACTGCAAGGTTGATGGTTCAAGCTTACCAGCTGCTCCTCAAAAAGCCTATGCAGGGTCGCTATGAGTCGGAACCAACTCAACACGATTTAACAACAACAAGAATCTAGTGGAGAGGGTCAGGAAAAGCTTTCACAAGAAACACTGTTTGCACTGTCTCCTGAAGGATGAATAGGAGTTAGATGAAGGCAGAAGGGCAGGGGTGAAGGAGCCAAGAGAGAACATTGTTAAATGAATGGATAGATGGATGAATGGGTTAACGTGGCATGGAAGTCTGAGCTCAACAGTACAGAACATTCTGACTGGTACAGAAAAGCAGATGGCTGAATCAGGGGTGTCTTGATAAGGTTTCTAGGATTGGTATAGGTAGTGGTGGTTGTAGGCATCTCTTCATTGTCCTAGTCTGATGGCATGTGGACCTGAATTTCCAATAAGCTGATCTTTGATCACCAATGCTTCCAGGAAGGGGGTAGAATGGATACATCAACCTCCCCAGCCAGGGATGGGGAGACCCTAGGATTGAGGTAAAACCCTTATGCACCATTTTAGATTGACCTTGCCAATCCTAGACACCTCACCCAGATCTTTCTTTCCACCCAGATGAGCGGGAAGTTGTTCAGAAGAAGACCTTCACAAAATGGGTGAACTCGCATCTGGCCAGGGTGTCCTGCCGCATCACTGACCTCTACAAGGACCTTCGGGATGGTCGCATGCTGATTAAGTTGCTGGAGGTGCTCTCTGGAGAGATGCTGGTAAAACACCCCCCTCCCCCCATTCCTCAGTCTCTTTCCTTGTGCCCTATGGCTGGTGTGGTTGAATCCTCTCTAGGAAAGACATGGTCTGGGGATATCTTGAGTTCCCATGGTCTTCCAAGGATTCTCCCTGCTCCTTTAGGAGATTCTGACTCCAAGAGGTGAGTATGTGTGATGTCAAATGTCCATGCAGCCAGTTGAGTTCCCTGAGCTTCCTGCCTCCTTCTGGCCATCTCCATCACTATGTACTTCTCCCAGAAGCCATGCAGAGTTCCTGCCTTTCTCACATGTGGTCTGGGCATCTGGAGTTGACCTTCAGTGACCCAACCCACCCTTGGCCTCCTCATACAGGCTAAGATATATGGATTTATGGATTTCCTGTTACACAGATGGAAATATTTTTATCCGTCTTGGAATCAAGAGGAAAAATATGGAAGATATTTTGCTGTGTGTTTTATAACTCTTGCAAGTGGAAATGTATTTTAAGCCTTGTCAGTTTTTACCCATCGGACAGTTGTGTTGTCCTTAAAGGAGAACTAGATCAAGTTTATGTTTTGTTCAGTTACTTCCTTTGTGACCTTGGGCTTTTCGGGTAGGACAACTTTGTCTCTCTTTTCCCTGTGTGTAAAATGGGGGAGACACCTGTACCTGAGAAAGCACTCTGAGGTACCATAAAAAGTGTCATGTTCTTCTGTTACCTTTAGCTCTAGGCTGGAGTTCTGCCTCTTACCATACGCTAAAATCTCACTATCAAGTTACTATTGGGAACCCTTCAGCTTATACAATTATTCATCAATGAGGGTCTCCTAGGATTTAGCTGGTGGCATTCAGAAATGGGGAGAAGGTGGTTGAGAGGATTGACCCAGTTATCAGTCACTGAGCTGAAAGCCACTCTTATCACCAGTCCTGCTATGTCGCTATAGGATAAGCACTCAACCTCAAGTTCGGTTTGAACCTCAAGGTCGGTGATTCAAACTCACCAGCCACTTCTCAGAAACCCTACATGGAATTGCTATGAATCAGAACCAGCTTGATGGCACTTAACAGCAAGAACTTCACCAACCAGCAGTAAATAATTCTTAGAACTGTGCCTGGCACATAGTAAGCGTTCAGTTAGCCGTCTACTGTGTTGCTATTTCTGAATGCTATTCATCAGCCCATCAGAAGACCCAGATACAGCCTGTTAGCCGAGTTCTGGGTAATCTAGGAGGCAAACCTCTGAACTTTACTGAAAGGAAGGATTGAGCATGTTGAAGACGTGGCTGTAGAAACAGGAGTTTGACCAGCAGGGTGGTGGATGGGGGCTGATGACAGAAATTGTTCTCCATGAGGTAAGTTCCCTCCATGCCCACGAGCCACTGCTGTCCCCCAGCCCAAGCCCACGAAGGGGAAAATGCGCATCCACTGCCTGGAGAACGTGGACAAGGCCCTGCAGTTTCTCAAGGAGCAACGTGTGCACCTAGAGAACATGGGATCCCATGATATTGTTGATGGCAACCACCGCCTGGTCCTGGGTCTCATCTGGACCATCATCCTTCGCTTCCAGGTGGGTTCTCTGTGGCAGAGAAAGCGGAGGGGGCCTCTCTGGACTAGGCAGGGCTTGGGAATCTTATAAAATCACGAGTTAAGTGTGAGTTCTTGTGGACATTCTGGCAGGATAGAAACGTGTCTTGGCATAATGCTTAGAGAGAGGAAGGAGTAACCATCTTCTGCATTACACAGAGTCATGGAGTCAGCCAGCAAGGTAGTCTTCTAAGAAAGAAAGCAGAAATTAGTAGCTGGGTTGAGATCTGGCGGGAAGATCTTTAGCTTCTTGTCACTGAACTGTGAACCACAAGGTCGGCAGTCCAAACCCACCAGCTGCTCCTCGGAAGCCCTATACAGGGTCCCTATGAGTTGGAACCGACTCGATGGCACTTAACAATAACAACTACGTGTGTAATTTTTTGTGTTTTCTCAAATACCTAATCATGCACAAGAAATTGCAAAAATATTACAGAAGATCTGATTTTACATTTTTCAATAAACATTTTTTTCTTTTCTTGCCCTGAAATTCAAGTTCTATGTTATTTACAAAGAAATTTAGAAAAGGTGATGGAAGGAAAACAAGCCTTTTACCTGCTGGTTTTCCCCCTAGCATGGCAGTCCAAGGTTAATTAATCATGTAAGGGCAGAAAGAGCCTAGTTTGAGAAAGTAAGAGTAGGAAGGAGATAGTATACAACTTGCAGACTGAAGACTGTAAGCAGCTCACTCTCTATGGGTGTGTGAGATTAAATATTAATAACAGTGGAATTGGGAAGAGTGAAAAGTCTGGAGGAGCAAGTAATCAAAATACAATACCTTCCAACATTCACATTGTTCCACAGCCTTTCAGGGCATTGTACATCCAGAGGAGGAATCTGGGTGTCATGTGGTGGGTGTATTTGCAGCATCCTGTGAGAGTTATCAAATGAGAGCTGTCTTACCGGACGCGAGGAAGCCAGCCCTGTGTTATTCCGACTGACTAAGACAGGGCAATGGGACCCAAGCCTCAGAGTGTGGTTGCTGCAGGGCTGGTGATACCAGTGGATGACTACAGAGGGAGAAACAGGAGCAGGCCCCCTGGGAAAGGCAAGGAGGCACAGATCCACATGCAAATCGTGTTCTCTCTCCTTCCTGCCATCCTCAGATCCAGGACATTGTAGTGCAAACTCAGGAAGGCCAGGAGACACGCTCAGCCAAGGATGCGTTGCTGTTATGGTGCCAGATGAAGACGGCAGGGTATGGCCTGGGAAGCAGCCACTATGACATTCCCCACCACCTCCTAATGATCCCCAAGCACTGACACCTCAAGGGACACTAGACATCACCACCCAGAACCTAGTAGTCTGATTCTTTGAGGTCTGGAACGCAGGATTTTTCCAAAGTAGTCTGGGATCAGATCATGGGGTTTACTGGGGGAATATATGACTCTTTGGGCCTCTTGAGGCCTTGTGGGGCCCTTTGCTGGAATTACTTGTGTCCTTTGTGTTGAAGTAGGTTAGTAAGGGCCAGAGTTCATTCCTTTCCCGGTGTAATGGCCCTTTTTGTGGGACTCCAAAAAGACCTATTTCTTGGGTCTTATTTGGACTTACTGTTTCTCTTGGATGCAGCTACCCCCATGTCAATGTCACCAACTTCACCTCCAGCTGGAAGGATGGTCTGGCCTTCAATGCCCTGATTCATAAGCACCGGTAAGAGGGAGGAGAGGCTGTGGGAACTGACTGAGACACAGTCACTTGGGGTATTTGAACTCGCTGCACTTTTTAGAGAGGTTACGGTACCTCTGTCACTTCTTCCTCTTTCACCCTTAGCATCTCCTCACACCCTGTTTTCTTAAAGCTCTGTCATGCCTGCTGCCCGTTTCCTCGAATGCTGGTGCTCTGGGCTGCTCCCTCGCCTCAGTTCTGCCTTCTCTTCCTACTCCTGCTGAGCCATCTCCCTGCATGCCAGGGCTGCCCTGGTGACCGGGGGATGCTGTGACCACTCCCCTTTAACAGTCAGCCTTCACCCCCAGACCTGACCTGATGGACTTTGACAAGCTGAAGGACTCCAATGCCCGACACAACCTGGAGCATGCTTTTGACGTCGCTGAGCGTCAGCTGGGCATCATCCCTCTCCTTGACCCTGAAGGTGAGCTGACACCCACCTGGCCAGGCCCTTCTCTTCAGCGAAGGGAGAAGGTACCTCTGTGCTGGATGGAGGGCACCTGGAAGCTGGTCGGGGTTAGTCCAGGTGCCCGGTGAACTGTGGATATAATGTGGGAGTTGTAGGAAGGCCAGAGCTCTGCTCCAGGCCCCTGTTCCCTCCAAGTTGGTTCTTGACACCTCACCTGGCCCATTTGGAGGGCCATCATGGCATCAGGATCCTGCTTCTTCCTTCTTTCATTTTGTCTTTAAAATTGCAGATCTATTACTTTTCCATTCATGCCCTTCAGTTGTCACTTGCTTTTTGTGGTTGAACTTGGCGCTGGAGGAGCAGGGAGGAATAAATCCACTGAGCTTGACTTTTATTTTACTTTGACTGGCTTCCAGTTTGGTCTGAGAGTATACCCTTCCTCCTCTCAGATGTCTTCACAGAAAACCCTGACGAGAAATCCATCATCACGTACGTGGTAGCATTTTACCACTACTTCTCCAAAATGAAGGTCCTGGCAGTGGAGGGCAAGCGTGTGGGCAAGGTAACCGGAGTACCCCTCGTTTCCACTGATCACACCATGCTTGGGTGAGATGCTCCCTCTCCATCGTGAGAGCCTTGTGTCTGGGCCATGGCTGCGGTGGGCCAGCAGGGGAGTAAGCTCATCACTAACTCCCACTGAAGCCACCCACTGTTACGTCAGCTGCTTCAAAGCGGATGATGGCCTGTCCTGAAGGATGCTCTGGTCAGCAGCTCTGAGCCCCTATGTTAAACCTGGAGTCCCACATCTCAGGAACATTCCCGTGTGCACAGATACACAGTGTAGTTTTACTGGTATATTGTGGCTCCAGATCTTTTAGGCTCCTGTGGTATACCAGGAACCCAATGCACTGGACAGACCCTCAAACCGGATTATTTCCCCTTTCTGGGCTGTTAGCTCCTCAAGGGTGGGGGCTGTTTCTCATTCATCTTTGTGTACTTAGTGTTTAGTAAAGACAGTGCCTAACAGCTGTTGTTGCTGTTAAGTACCAAAGAGTTCCAAAAAGTCATGGCGACCCTGTATAGGGTTTCCAAGGAGCCTGGTGGGTTAGAACTGCTGCATTTGTGATTAGCAGGCCAATGTTTATCCTGCAGTACCACACCAGGACTCCAAGATAGTGCCTGAATTCAGGCCCTGAATTCCTAATATTTAAAAATGAACAAACCTCTGGCCACTCTAGTGACTGGTATCCACAATGAACTTGCCACTTCTTTATAAGGTTAGGGTTCACTGGGCCATCCCCCCTACTGAAGAGGACTCTGCCCACTTCTAGTCCACTCTTTCCCCTTTAGCAACAGTCAGGGGACAAACCCACCCTAAAACACTCCGGTCCTTGGAAGGTGTGAGCCCCATTTCAGGGGCACCTCGCTGAGGTCTCCCTTGGTGGCATTGCCCTTCTGACGAGAATGGTACTTTGTTAGGTGATCGACCATGCCATTGAGACCGAGAAGATGATTGAGAAGTACAGTGGGCTGGCCTCGGACCTGCTCACCTGGATCGAGCAGACCATCACTGTCCTCAACAGCCGCAAGTTTGCCAACTCCCTGACCGGTGTCCAGCAGCAGCTACAGGCTTTCAGCACGTACCGCACTGTGGAGAAGCCACCCAAGTAAGGGCTCTTGGCGAGGGAGCCTGGTACTCGGGGTGGTCATTTGTGAGTGAGAAATAACAGCCCTCTGAAGTGTATGCTAGAGACTCAAGAGTTTCACATCTGCTACCTGCTTCAGCCCCATGTTGCCATCTTGCTCCCAAACAACCCATAAACCTTTGAATCAATTCTGCCTTTGAATCGATTCTGACTCATAGTCACCCTATAGAACAGGGTAGAACTGCCCCCAAAAGAACTGCTGTAACTTTTATGGAAGCAGACGACCATATCTTTCCCCTTTTGAGGAGTTGGTGGGTTCAAACTGTTGACCTTTTGTTTAGCAGCTGAGCGCTGAACCAGGGTTTCTTTCCCCAACAACAGCTTACAGAACAAGCAGACGTTTCTCAGTAACTCCTGACTCATAACTAAAGAAAGTAAAGGGTGACTTTCCCAGGTCTCTTGAGGGTGAGCAGGAGTGGCATCTCACGCTTCAGACTCTCCAACAAACGTGTTCTGGAAAGCTCCTCTGTCTGTGTGCACTGAGCTACGGTTTGTTTTCTGGCAACAGCCTCTGTAATCTCAGCCCCAGAGCTGTTTGTGTGGGGCCTTACTCATCATCAAATACATCTTTCTTATCCTCGCCCATTTGTCACTGGTCATTCACAGAACCACACATCCCTGTGTGCACAAACATGCACACACAGATACACACACATGCACCTGGTCAGAGGCGCACATACAAACACACACACGCGCACAAATGCAGGGAGCATCCCAGGTCTCCTCCCATTAGCCTGTACAGCTCTTCTGAAGCAACTTTGAGACCATTGTTGGTGTCTTGTTTCCCCCGTCTCCTGTCTCTCCATTCATGGCTATCAAACAGGGAAAGGTGAGACATGTAGTCTAGAATGTACCTTAAACAAGTATCTAGTTTCTGTCTTGACACTAACCCACTTTTCAGGCCCTAAATTCAATACAGATTACGTCTTTTGTGAGTCCACCTGGTACTTCCCCCCCCCCCCCCGGGCGTGTTATCTTTTGGCTGTGCAGGCAGTGCTAGAGGGTACATCTCTCTTGAAGTGCTTGTGAGCCCTGAGGTCAGTTAGATTGGACTCCATGTGGGGATCTTACTTACAGTTTATCCCTGACTGCCACATTGAGGATGTAGATGTGACTATATACTCAGGTATGTGTAGAAATGTGACAGTACCCAGTGACCTGGAGCTTGCTTCCAGACATCTGTCCTATTGCCAGTTCTTGTCTACTGCACCTAAATCCTTCCTGGTAATCAGCCTTTTCTCGTCTTTCTGAAGCAGCTGGCCTTTAGGACTTGCTAGATCTGGCTCATTAGAACTCAGGTGAAAGTTGCTTTCAGTGCAGTATGTTCTTCCATGGGTATTGTCACTACTAAAAAGGTTTCTATTGACTCAGTCAATCAAGAACAGACTAAGAGCTAGTCAGAAGCCTTAATCATTTGCAGAGCAGGGAAGCATTTCTTTGTATCGATTGGCAAAACTTGATATTTATAGGAGTTACCAGAATATCCCAGTCAGTTGTTTCCCTGTGGAACCAAGTGCTGTAGTAGGCATTGTGTTTTCCACTATCTGTATTATACAGACCCTAACCCTATTAGATCTCAGTTGGTAAGTATTATAGATGTTTCCATGGGTAAATAGACCTATACAGCCTCTCTGCTTTTCCTTTGTTTTAAGGGAAATATGTTTGATCATCCAAGCTCCAAGGTGCCAGGGGTCCATGTTGATTTCTGGGGGTTATGGGGATCTGGACATTCATCTCCTTATCTCTGCGTTCCTAATAGGTTTCAGGAGAAGGGAAATCTGGAAGTCCTACTTTTTACTATCCAGTCCCGGATGAGAGCCAACAATCAGAAAGTGTACACGCCACATGATGGGAAACTGGTGTCTGACATCAACCGGGTATAGTGACACTTTCCATTCGCTTTGCCAGTGGGTGATAGAGTCCCTGACAAGAGCACAAGGAAATGCTCACTGGGTAAACCAAGCCACATTCTCTGGTGTTGTTAGTTACACATACTGGCTATTGTGGGCAGTTATCTGAACCTAGTCTTACAGGTCAAACTCTGCCTTCCACCCACCAGTTTAGCCTACTGTACAGACACACAGAGTCGATTGTTTGGGAAACAGTTCCATAACTTCTGTTCTGTAGGGCCTTAAGTTTGCCCTTGAATCTAAAATATTAACTGCTTATAACAATAGGGACATGCTTATGACATTGATGTCTCAGAAGAGTTTGAAGACTTAACACCATCCAGAAATTCTAATAGAATGGAAGGTAGCCATTTGGTCATTAAGAATTTATTGAGCACCACAGAGGTGAATAACACTGTATCAGGCCAAAATTCTAAGAGCAGGTTTAAGTGGGGTCTGGAAGGCCCCAGTGCTTCTAGGATCTTGGGTTGGCTCAGACGTGGAGACCAAAAGGCTATCACAGAACTTTAAATCTACTACCACCTGATCAAGAGCCTCGGGCTCTGCCTAGATTACAGAAATCACTGTATCAACCTAAAGAGAAACCCAAGTGTTTTTCTTGTGCCTGAAGATGTCTAGAGCCAATTTCTTTCTCTGTCCCTTGTACAGGCCTGGGAAAGCCTAGAGGAAGCTGAGTATCGGCGGGAACTGGCCCTGAGAAATGAGCTCATCCGGCAGGAGAAGCTGGAGCAGTTGGCGCGGCGCTTTGACCGAAAGGCTGCAATGAGGGAGACGTGGCTCAATGAAAACCAGCGTCTTGTGGCCCAGGTAGCAACAGCACGCGTGGGGATGGTAGGAGAGGGGACATTTTCCTGAAAACCCCAGAAGTTGATTGGGCTGGAGACTGGCTGGCCTCTTGGTGGCAGGTGGATAAGCTTCTCTGTGGAGAAGTCTCTCTTACAGCCCAGCTCTCCGGGGTTGGGTAGATCAAGATTCACATCAGAGGTAGAATGCTATACCCAGCTCCCAGGGGTTTGGGTTGACATTTAAGTAATCGTTCTCTGGAGTCTGGTGAAAACAGAGAGAGCATCTTGTGTGTATCAGATTGTCTTTTGGACTCGGGCCTCCGGGGCTGTGACAAGTGACCACAGGGCTGATTCTCCATGAGAGCATCTGTTCTCTCCCACTTGGAGCTGGAAATCAAATTAACTTCTTCCCAGAATGGGGGTAGTGAGTGATCTAAGAGCGTGTGTGTCCCATAGACTGCACGTGAGTAAACAATCTGCTTACAGCTGTGCTGTGTCTGAGGGAGAAGAAGCCCTTCCTGCCCAGGACTGGACAGTCCACTCAGGGCAGTAGGTGAGTGCCAGTGAGCCTCAAAAGGACTCCGTTAGTGATAGTCATGAAGCACTACACACATGTAGGACACAGCAAGTGAAGTCACACTGAGTCTTTGGGCCTTGACTCTGGTTAGTTAAACTGAAAAGCCAACAGCAGCCGCTCCTTCATAGGAGTCAGTTTCTCATCCAGCAGTGGCTCTGGTGGGTTTGGCCACATGAACTCGGGAAGTCTGACTGCACTGCCTACTTATCTCCCTGTGGGACAGGATAACTTTGGTTATGACCTGGCGGCTGTGGAGGCCGCCAAGAAGAAGCATGAGGCCATTGAGACAGATACGGCCGCCTATGAGGAGCGCGTGAGGGCCCTGGAAGACCTGGCTCAGGAGCTGGAGAAGGAGACCTACCATGACCAGAAGCGCATCACGGCCCGCAAGGATAACATCCTGCGCCTGTGGAGCTACCTGCAAGAGCTGCTGCGGGCTCGGCGCCAGAGGCTTGAGATGACCCTGACGCTGCAGAAGCTCTTCCAGGACATGCTGCACAGCATCGACTGGATGGATGAGATCAAGGTGGGCTCCAGGGGGCTGCCTGTCCAACCCCCCCCCACACACACACACACAGTAGCCACCTTGGGACCCAGTGCTGACCCTGCAGTTAGGGATGTGCTGCAGTTAAGGATGTGCTGGTGACATCACCTGTGCTCCCAGGTGACGTCACCAGCACATCTCCAATCATGGAGAAATCTTGGGTTTGTAGTAGCAAAGGTGACAACCATCAGGGCCTAGAAGAGATGGACAGTAGTCAGAGTCCAGAAGAGTGAGGCTTTGAATCCACAGCTTGATTCTAGTTAGAATCCAGACCTCAGAGGAGTCAGGGTTGGGGCAGCCAAGGAGTCCTAAAATTCTCTTTTCCTTCCATTCCAGTGGGTCTCAACTGATGATCCACATGAGAACTGACTGTGTGGAGCTTTCTAAAAATGTACAGGCCCGGCACCCCACCATGAGACACATTCAGTACATCAAGTGTGGGCTTGATCTTCCGTAAGGCTAGTCTGATGAGTCCTCTGTAGCTTCTTCCATCCCCAACACCAGCCACTTTCCATGGCTCAGCCTGGATCACATACCAGGGACCTTCCCACTGGAGGGGTCTCTTTTCCTAGTGTGCAGCTCTCTTCACTTCCCCTGTTGTCTCCATCCTGCACCTTTGCCAGGCTCACCTCTTGTCTGCGGAGTTTGGAAAGCACTTGTTGGAGGTAGAGGACTTGCTACAGAAACACAAGTTGATGGAAGCCGACATCGCCATCCAAGGGGACAAAGTCAAGGCCATCACCGAAGCCACCCTGCAGTTCACTGAAGGACAAGGTGAGGTCTCTGATGCCAGAGTCCCATGGTCTGACTCAGCACCCTGGCCTGGAGAAATCCACTGGAATTAGCTGTAGAATTCTGCTTCTTTCACCAACTAATGGTCCAAGAAAGGAGCTTGAGGAACTGCAGAACTCTCCAGAGACCAGGCAACTGCTTTGATACTCTATAGTCAGAAAGAGATTTACAAGTACTAGTAAGGCATCATCTGTCTTCCATTCTCTCGGATAGATAGTTCAGGTCATGGCTGAGACAGTTGAGGTTTCTGGTTTCTGATATTAAGTAAGAGACTTCACTGCCTCTTTTAAGAATTGCCTTGAAATTTGTGACTGGGGGTTTTTGTTTTCTTTTCTTTTGATTTCTTCCTTTTTAAAAATCATTTCATGTTGTACATTTCTACTGAGAACTGACCAAATTTCTAATATCCCTCCATCCCTGTAATTTTGGTGTTGTTGTTGTTGTTGTCAAGTGCCATTAAGTTGATTCTGACCCATAGCAACCCTGTATAGGGTTTCCAAGGAGCAGCTGGTGAGCTTGAACCACCGACCTTGCAGTTCAAATGACTTTGCATTCTGATGCATTAACGCACACCTGTAATTTTAGTGGGAACTAATTATAAAGAATTTTGGAAGAAGTGCAGCCAGAGTGCTCCTTTAAGGCCAAGATGGCTAAACTTTGTCTCTCATACTTTGGACATATTGTCAGGAGGGAACAGTTGCTGGAGAAGGATATCATGCTTGGTAAGATGGAGGGTCAGAGAAAAAGAGGAAGACCCCCAACGAGATGGATTGGCCAGGTAGAAGCATTGATGGACTCAAGTGTGGCAGCAGTAGTGAGGTTGGCCCAGGATCGGACATTGTTTCATTCTGCTGTGCATGGGGTCGCTATGAGTCGGTTCCGACTCGATGGCACCTGACAACAACAACAATTATAAAGAACTGGATCTGCCCACAGAGTAAACAGGACCAGAGGTGTGTCGAGGCTGATAGAACATGTCCTGGATGTCACTTGGAGGAGGGAGGTGCCAATGAGCAATTTTTATTCACCACTGACATTTCTATTGCCAGCTTTGGAGATTTTCAGCAATTTAAAATGAATTGTCATTGTTGTTGCTGTTGTTCTGACTCAGAGCGACTGTATGTACAATATACTACTGCCCGGTCCAGTGCCATGTGTGAGCACACTGTGGTAGCCACTGGGTCAATTCATCTCATTGAGGATCTTCCTCATTTTAGCTGATTCGCTACCAAGCATGATGTCCTTTTCCAGGGACTGTCCCTCTTGGTAATATGTGAGACCAAGTATCACTAGCCTCGCATCTAAAGAGCATTCTGGTTATATGTCTTTTGAGACAGACTTGTTCATTCTCCTGGTAGTCATGGTATATTCACTATTCTTCACCAACACCATACTTCAAGACATCAATTCTTCTTCAGTCTTCCTTATTTTATTGTTCAGCTTTCACAAGCATATGAGGCAATTGAGAATACTCTGGTTTGCTTCAGGCATACCTAAATCCTCAAAGTGACTTCTTTATTTTCTGTGATAGATGTTACTTTCTATAGATATGCCTCTGACTAGGACCCCAGCAATCAATCCAGAACCTGCCTAGCGAGCCAGCAGGCTCTAGATCATGTGTTTCTAGCCTGGTAACTGGTAGAAACTTGTCTATAAATGAGCTCTTCTCTTTCCTTCTTCCACCCTCTTCTCTAGGGTACCAGCCTTGCGACCCCCAAGTCATTCAGGACCGAGTCAGTCACCTGCAGCAGAGCTTCGAGGAGCTGAGCAACATGGCAGCTGGTCGAAAGGCCCAGCTGCAGCAGTCCAAGAGGCTCTGGAAATTCTTTTGGGAAATGGATGAGGCTGAGAGCTGGATCAAGGAGAAGGAACAGATCTATTCCTCCCTGGACTACGGCAAGGACCTGACCAGTGTGCTCATCCTACAGCGCAAGCATAAGGCCTTTGAGGATGAGCTTCACGGACTGGACACCCACCTGGAGCAGATCTTCCAGGAGGCTGAGGGCATGGTTGCACGTAAGCAGTTTGGACACCCACAGATTGAGGCCCGCGTCAAGGAGGTGGTAGCCCAATGGGACCAGTTGAAGGAGCTGGCTGCCTTTCGCAAGAAGAACCTCCAAGATGCTGAGACCTTCTTCCAGTTCCAAGGTGATGCTGATGACCTGAAAGCCTGGCTGCAAGATGCCCACCGGCTGCTCTCGGGCGAAGATGTGGGCCAGGATGAAGGGGCCACACGGGCCCTGGGGAAGAAGCACAAGGAATTCCAGAAGGAGCTAGAAGAGAGCCATGGAGTGATGGAGCACCTGGAACAGCAGGCCCAAGGCTTCCCACAAGAGTTTCGGGATTCCCCAGATGTGACCAACCGGCTTCAGACCCTCCGGGAGCTCTACCAGCAGGTGGTGGCTCAGGCAGCTCTGCGTGGGCAGAAGCTACAGGATGCCCTGGACCTGTACACAGTATTTGGGGAGACAGACGCCTGCGAGCTATGGATGGGTGAGAAGGAGAAGTGGTTGGCCCAGATGGAACTCCCGGACACCTTGGAGGACCTGGAGGTCGTGCAGCACAGGTCAGAGCTGGGGTGACCCACCCCTCCCCCCAAGGCCACCACCACCCACCTGGGTTGGTTAAAAACACAAAACAAACAATGCTTGCAGTTGAGCTGTCCATTTGTTTGTTTCAGTAATATTGTATTGTCTCTTTGTTGGAAATATACACAGCAAAATCAGCTCCATTCAACATTTTCTACACGCATTGTTCAGTGATACTGGTTACATTCTTCACAGTGTATCAACATTCCCATTATTCCTGTCCTAGTTTTTCTTTTCCCATTGAATTAATTTCATGAACTCCCTCTCTCCCCTCCCCCCAGCTTGCTTATCTGTGCTTTAGCATTTGGTCCCATACAGACGTTTTTAAAAGGGTATAGTGCTCTAGGGTGATATTTAGTACATTATGAGCCAGCCAACTTGCTGTTTAGCTAAAAGTTCCATTTTCCATAGGGTATGACTGACTTAATTGTTGTGGAAGTGGGTTGCCAGGCCTTTCTTTCGCTGCACTACTGGGTGAGCTGGAACCACCAACCTTTAAGTTAACAACTGATCACAGACTGCTTATGCCAGTCAGCAAAGGTTGTGTTTGAGAGGCTATGAGGTTCCCTTTCTTGTGGGATACAGGCATTAGAAGATACACGTTTGCATTTAGCTCTGGGCCTTGGGTATTTCACAGCACTCCTCCTCCTTCCCCATCCAAGGGTCTTGGTTTTCTCAAGACAAAATGGAAGGGGTATCGTTAGTCCATTATTCAATTTCTTATCAACTGCAGTAGTCTTTGCTCAAATGGCTTGTATATGGCATCCGTGACATAGGACAGAGGGACTAGTGAAGGTCCTCTCAATGTAGGAGAGCCCTGGACCCCAGCAGCACTGGCTTTCTGTGTCACCCTCTAAACCGCAGAACCCAGTTTGTAAAGCCTCATCTACAAAGCCATTCTCATTTCTAGGACTCTGAGACCATCAGCACTCTGGCATAGGAGTCATGCCGGCCGTCTGTGTGGTATCTCAGCATCCTAACTCAGAATCCAGGGGGCTGGGGAGGAGAGGCTGCCCCCTGGAGCAGTGCTGAGCTGATCCTGTGCTGGTGCTTGAAGCACCCCAGAAGGCTTGGTTTTCAGTGCCACTCAATCCTTCTCCCACCCCACCTATGCAGCCCTCCCTTCTTCCACCAGGAAGCACTTGGCTGGGAACGGAATCTCAGCTCAAGGTGGCAGGGCAAGCTGAATCAGAGTTCAAGAGTAGCCACTATGGCAGTAGAGGCCATGGTAGGTGCTCCCTGGGGCTACTGACACCCCCTCCTACTGTAACCCCTTTGCAGCCCCCTTCTCCCTGTTGAGTCATTGACCTGTGTGGTGAATAACCAGCTGTCTCCTAGCTGGGCCCAGAATGCTAATCCACGAAATTAGACCGGCGAAACAGAAAATTGGGTGTGTCAGCACATCTTGTCTCCTTTTACCCCCTTACCTAGATGATCATGTCTAGGAGGTAGAAGGAGAAGGTTTTGAGGTGATGACATGTCTGCTGCTGCCTCACAAAACCTCACTTTCTCTGTCCATACCAGGTTCGACATCCTGGACCAGGAGATGATGAATTTGAAGACTCAGATTGATGGCGTGAACCAGGCTGCCAACAGCCTGGTGGAAAGTGGCCACCCACGCAGTGAGGAAGTGAAGCAGTACCAGGACCACCTGAATACCAGGTGGAGTCAGCAGGGCTTGGGAGTTGGGGTATTTCTCCCAGCACTTGGCGCATCTCTGAAGTGACCTGGGGGTCTGGACACCTGCTCTGCAGTGCAGATCCTGTTCCCACTGCTTGCCAGCTTCACACAGTCAGGGCTCCTGTCTCTCTCTGCCACACTCTCCTTCCTGCCCAGCACTGGAGCTGTAGCAATAGGAAGGAAGGAAGGAACTATATGAACTGTGGGTAAAGAGGCCGGAGAGGAAGAGATATATGTTTGTTCATAGAGCAATGAGTGCTGTGCTGGGGGCTGCGGTGGGTAGGGAGGCTACACCTGCATAATGGAGGGGAGGTTCTGAGTGTGCTTGTGGTTGGAATCCGGACATGTGGCACTCACACCCCATTTCCCAGGATGTTCTTGGGCTGGCAAAATTGCATTCTGAGAGCTCATAAGTACTGTCCATAAAAGAGTACTCCTGCCAGGGCCAGAATGCAGCACTAGTAATGAGGCAGGTTTGAATGAAGAGGAGAATTAGTAGGAAGTTTTGCACAAACTACATGGCTGGAACAAAACATCGGCCCAGAGGAGCCTTTTAGAGAGGGGCTGCTATTTGGATGCGCAGAATCACCCATTAGTTCCTCGAGGGTCTTGGAGGACTGAGCAAATACCTATAATCCCTGGGCCCTGGCACATTCACTGCCACTTGTTTGCCACTTCCCCATTCCCCAGCCCCTTCCTTACATTTGAGCATGAGCTTCATCCTACCTAAGGCAACCTAGGGGTTGAGGTTAGGGAAGACTTTAAAGCAGGGGTGGGGAACCTTTTTTCTGTGAAAATTTATAACATCATTCATGGCCATACAAGATAATCAACTTAAAAATTAGCCTGCTGTGGTTAAGGAGTCCTGGTGTGGCACTGTGTGTTAACGTGCTGGCAAGATCCATTTGCACTGCAAAGTCGGATGTTTAAGCTTGTCAGTTGCTCCTCGGAAATCTTGTAAAGGGTTGCTATGAGTCCAAACTGACTCAATGGCACTTAACAACAACAACAACGTATTTGGTCAAACATTTAATTAACTCACACCTAATGTGATGGCTGGAACTGCCAGACCAAATGATTTCACAAGGGTCAGCATAATGAAGACTTATGAGGCTAGGGAGTCCTGATTTGGTGCTGTAGGATAAACAGTGGACGGGTAACTGCAAGGTCAGTGGTTTAAACCCACCGGCCATTCTTCAGAAACCATATACAGGGTTATCATGAGTCAGAACTGACTCAACAGCACTTAACAACAACAAGAGGTGACCAAGATACTTTAAGCCATTAGAATGGAATTGATGGTTAGTATTAACATCCAAATGGAGCTTGTGGGTAATGGGTGTGCGTAACACAGAAAGAGAGAATATGATTGGTTATTGTAACAGCTTCTTAATTGAGAAAATCAGAGCAGGTCCTAACCAGAACAACTTCCAAAGACAGAATGAACTCAGGCTGTATGTCTGTTGCCTTAATGAGCTGTATTCAGAATATATAGATCTTTTCAGGACTCTTCGCCATGTGCTATTTCAAGTAAAATATGTTAAGGTACTTGCTATACTTAAGTGGGAGAAAACCGGAGGCATGAAATACTAAACTGGTTTTCCATTAAATCTGAGAGCTGTACGGCCCTGAGAAAGCATCAGCTTTCTCAGCCAGCTTCCAGAGCTGGGGAGCCCATCTTCTTGTTTCATCTCATTGTTATTGTTGTTAAGTGCATCTCATAGTGAGTGGAAATCTACCTCCTTGAAATTTTTACTATTGAGTTTTACAGATATCAAAACTTGTTCAGATTCTTCTTCCGTGTATTAGCTCTTCAAATATATATATATTATATATATATATATATATATATATGGCATTTTATTGTACGTTAAGTGAAAGTTTGCATAGCAAATTCATTTTTCCAGTCAATAATTCATGTACAAATTTTTCCCTGCCATTGGTTGCAATCCCCACAATGTGTCAGCAGTCTTCCCATTTCTTCCCGGACATCCCCGGTTCCATGTATTCAGTTTTCCTGTCTCCCCTGCCTCCTCATCTTTGGCTTTGGGCAAATAGTTTTGCCCTTTTGGTCTAATATAATTGATTGTTCTGAGGTCTTCAAATATTTTTAAAGATAGCTATCATTTCTTATTTTATCACTTACTAAATTTTTATTGACTAAATAAGCATTTGTGATGGTGCCTGGGAAGGTCTCAAGATAGAGGGGTGTTTTAGCAGGGAGGTGAGAGAAGGCACCCTGAGGACATCTTAGGAGAGGGATGACTGGCAGAGGGAAGCACCTGTGCAGTGGCTGTGGGTGTTTGAGGAACAGTGTGGAGCATGCATAGAGTTTCTGACTTCATAGGTCTTGGGCGAGGACCAAGAATTTGCTTTCAGGCGCCCACATGATACTGACGGTACTGGTCTGAAGAACACATTTTGAGGACTGCATCACTTGTCTGTCAGTTTGCTGTACTGTGGTGGCTTGAGTATTGCTGTGATTCCGGACACAAGTGTTTTAAATACCAGCATGTTCACCCACAGTGGACAGGTTTTAGATGAGCTTCCAGACGAAGACAAACTAGGAAGAAGGAGAGACAGACTTCTGAATATTTAGTCACTAAAACCTTATGAATAGCACTGGAACACTGTCAGCACCAGATTCTTGAATATTAAAACATGATGCAGGCCACCAGCATATTGTCAGATATGGTGCCAGAAGATGAGCTCCTGAAGTTGGAAGGCACTCAGAATGCAACTGGGGAAGAGCTGTAGAGTTGACCGTGATGACATGAATGCAGTTAAGACCTTAGGACCTTCATTTGCTGATGGGCACAACTCAAAATTAAGAGAAGCAGCTGTAAGCATTCATTAATAATTAGAACATGAAATGTATGAAGTATGAATCCAGGAAAATTGGAAATTGTAAAAAATAAAATGAAACTTGTAAACATTGATATTCTAGGCATTAGTGAGCTGAAATTGGTATTGGCCATTTTGAATCTGACAATCACATGGTTTACTATGCCAGAAATGACAAATTGAAGAGGAATGGCATCGCATTCATCATCAAAAAGAACATATCAAGATATGTCATGAATTGCAATGCTGACTGTGATAGGATAATATCTATACATCTACAAGGAAGACCAGTTAACACCACTATTATTCAAATATATGCAACAACTACGAAAGACAGTGATGATGAAATTGACAAATTCTACCAACTTCTTCAGTCTGAAATTGATCAACCATGCAATCAAGATGTAGTGATATAATAACTGGCAAATGGAATGCAAAGATTAGAAACAAAGAGGAAAGATCAGTGGTTGATCCTTGGTGGCCTTGGTGATAGAAATGATGTTGGAAATTGCATGATAGAATTTTGCAAGACCAATGACTTCTTCATTGAAGATACCTTTTTTAAAACAACATAAAAGACAACTATACACATGGAACTAACCAGATAGAATACACAGAAATAAAATTGACTACATCTGTGGAAAACGACAGTGGAAAAGTTTCATATTATCAGCCAAAACAAGGCCAGGGGCAGACTGTGAAACAGATCATCAATTGCTCATATGCAAATTCAAACTGAAGCTGAAGAAAATGAAAACAAGTCCACAAGAGCCAAAATATGAACTTGATATATCCCACCT